CTAGAGTTCACTTCAACCGAACCGAGACCTAGGTATTTAGGCGGACCAGAGTTCGCTTTTTTGGTCCGCATCAGAGTTTGATTGCACATTCACACCTCCCTAAATGAACCAGATTTTATAGGCAAACGGACTAGAGTTCGATTAAAGCGGACTAAACAGGGCTGGTCTGAATGCACCCTAAGAAGTATCGTTGCTACGAGACTTGCAATAGCGATGGCCGATATGCTGACAAGCCTCGTATGTAAGGTTCATGCCATTTCTAAGGCTGATTATTCAGGGACAGAAACGTAATTGTTGGACTTGACTACATGGCCGAGTTGGCCTCGACCGGACAAATGTAAAAAAGAATCCATACATCTAAGTGGCAGGATAATATTTTAAAAACACTAGAGATCCCAAAAATACCACCATCATCCTTGCATTCTCTACCTGGAGTAAAAGCAGCCTAAATGTAGTTTATGTCTAAAATTATCAAAACACTGGATAAAACTAAAATTTCCTTTCCGTTTCAAAGCCAAAAATTGATTGTGGTAAAAAAAAAAGAAAAACAAAAAGAACTTAATTTTTAAATAACATTTTCAGTTTTGAAAAACAGAGTAAAAGAACTGATAGCTAACAGCTACGCTAATACCAGTTAACAAAGTGCAATAAAAGAAGTGGCAGGCAAAGAAGTCATTCTTCATCCTGTCGCCGAAAATCTGTGCAATACGTGGTGATTAAACAGCATGCACCTACACAAAATCGTCTGTCATCTGTGTTTTTTTTTCCCACCAATGCAAAAAGAGCACGAATCGGCTCTGAAACACCAGGAACGCCACACACAGCTTTTTATAAATTTGGCCAGGTTGCTAGACACAACTAGTCCCCTACGTTGCAGCCAGCACTTGAGACGTGTATTAATGCATCAGTCAATACAATCCAAGCCGATTTTGGCCTTGGGAACATTATTTTTGTTTAAGTTGACTTGGTCAAAAGCACTGGAGATGGCCAGTATGCATGATGTCTGCCACAGGGCTTTGGGGATTCCCCATAAATCTTGTGACCATTCCTGATCAACACTAATAAAGTGACAGCAGCTATTTAAATCTGTTAAGGTGTCAAACTGATATATTTGAATGCCTGATCAAGTCCAATTTTTGTCACAAAATGTCACTCAAAAACCCAAGTAAGGTCATTCAAGTGTGGCAAGTTCAGTTGCTGTCAGAATAATGAAAAGCGGTGTAGAAAGGTGCCTTGAGCACCCTTTTTTCTTTAATCTCTTCAGTTAAGGAGAAAACACCTCTCCCCCGATGCACAAAAATATCTGTACACGGAAGGCGAACAGTACCAGTAATTACACATAAGATACATTTACCCAGGTTATGTCTTGAGGGAGAAGAGGACAAGATGGGAAGGGGAAAAGATGTATTGTTTAAACAGCGCTGTTTTGCCAGAGCAGTCTGTCAAAAAGAGCTGGTTCTGTGGCAATAAAGGTCATTTAGAGGACATGTGGGAAAACAAGTTAATCTTAATGAACTGCCACTCTCAACAGTGTCAATGAGAATGAGAAAAAGAAATATTTTATACTTGAACAAAAAAATTTTGTACTTTTTTTTCCAAAAAAGTATAAAAATAAATCTTTCTGGGTTGAACTGACTTAAGAAGTCATTTACCGTATTTGTAGCTGGTAACAAATACAACAGCCTTTCTTCAAATACTTTACAAAGATTTCATAGTTGTGGTTTATCGTTTGAATTTATCAATCATTTATTTGCACCAGCCTACTTATACATCCAGGAATGTGGTACACAAATTATTTAAAATAATAAAGAGAGTTCAAGTGTTAAAGATAAATACAATAAAAGTGCAAGCCAAAGCTAAAATTTGTGCAAATACTACGAAATATAAATTAAATCGTAAAGTAAATTTTTACACTTTTCTTGTAGCCATCTTTGTATTATTAAGTACACAGAGTACCTTCAATGTGAATTGAAGCAGCAGTATCTGAAGGAACACTTGTGACCTTGTTTAACCCCAAATAATTATGCAGGGTATATCTTAGAACTGCGACAAAAGGAGGCAGCAGATTTTCTCTGACTGATATGGCTGAACGACACGCACTGGAGTGTTTAGGTAAGGTAAATAGGATCTCCACCAGGACGGAGAGGAAATGAGCTCTGGCAAGGGGCAGGAAAGGCCACAGCTTGCACAGTCAATGAAAACAGTAAACTATTAGGGCAGAATAAAAAATAAAAAAATACAAACAAGCTGGTATACATAAAGACTGAAGGCTAAAGGAATGAACAATTCTTTGTGGGTTTACACTAAACCTGTTTCCCACCCCCTAAAGGAAAACAAAAACCTGAGCATCATCCTCTTGAGGAAAGCAGAGAAAGAGCAGCAGGGAAACACAGGGCAGGCAGTCAGCCCCTCTGTTCAGATAAAGATTTGGTGGCTGGCGTACTGCTGCAGTGATGAACAGTGCAGCACACAGATCCCAGGCTTCCTCGCTCTCTCACTCCCTCTTAATGCACTGAGGCTTATGCACCTGCATTGCTTGCAGCCATCTTTAACTACTTAATGCAGAAATGCACTCTTTTAAACATGAAAGCAACCGCACCCATTCACCCAAACGTCATGCGTTTGCTGTTACAAAGTGGCATTAGCTCACATAATGTTGCATTTCCATTCGATAAGGGATTTCTTGGTCAGTCTATTTGTGTCTCTCCCACTACGTAGCAGCTGAGACTTAAGCACGTTATTTAAGAAAAGCTACATCAGTCTTACCCAAAGCTATTGCACAAAATGTATTCATAGTGGTTTAAAATAACACTCTTCTAGTCTTCTTTGAACACAGAATGCCAATATCAGCTAATCTGTTTTACTACAGTGATACTGTTCCAAATTAAGCTAAATTATGAAATATTGCTGATATAAATATTTTTATTAGAATACAGAACAACTGTGCAATGAATGAGGGTAAGCTAGACAAAAATCAAGTATCTGAGTGTGGTGGCTGCTTGTATACATAGACTCTCCAAAGAAATATGTTATTTTAGTAAAGACTAAGAGAAACATCATATTGGGGATTAGGGTGTAATGTTGGTGGATAAGATCCAACCAGCTGAGTCATCCGATTCTTACTAAGAAATCACACAAACCTGATCCCAAAGTTATTTTAAGATAATTTAAGTTATTACTAAACAGACATTTACCTCAAAGGCAGAATTTCTTTCCATCAACCAAATAGTAAAACTGCTGCTGCTTTTTTTGTGCATAAAGGAGAAAACACTGCTGATAGGAGTGCACTGATAAATCGGCCGGACGATTTATCGGCCCCGATTTGCTTAATTTTGGATGATCGACGATCGGCCGATACTTAAGTGAGAAACTGATTTTACCGATTTTTTGTGTAGTTTTAACAACAATTGTCTTAACTTCATTTATATTTCAGAGCACTACCTCATGGCCAATTAAAAAAAAGTTTGGATTGTTTCTAGGATATTGTTCAAGGGTATGTTTTTCAATAAAATAAGATTGGAAAATTGAAGGTGCATTGTGACCTTACAACACCTGACAGTGTCGCTTATAAAACAAAATCGTCATCGGCCACAATCGGAATCGGTCGGTCAGACTTTTTAGAGATCAATGATTGGTGATTGGCCAAAAAACTGCCACCGGCACACCCCTAACCGTTGATGAAAGGAACGAGAAAGGGATATAAAAGAAAGGGAGACATGATGGAACTGGGTTACCCAGTATGAGCCCCAAAGGTCCCAAAGGAGAGTTGCAACACGTCTTGTTTGTTTGGACTGCAATTTGTCATTGAATGAGACACAGACACCCTCAAGTTCGTGTTTGCTGGCATTTGTCACTGCATGTAAGACAGTGTGTGCA